GAGAGAGAGAGAGAGAGAGAGAGAACAGAGAAGCGAAGGTAGATGGATATGTCGGACCAGGAAACTTGATTCCCCGCAGTGCAACGTGACTCCCCCGTGAGATCCGCTTGGAGAGGGCGCCTGCAAAGATCTTTGGACTGCTTTGTTTGTTCTTGGCGGGCTTCCTCTGCTCATGTGGCGTCGAGGTAACTCAGCACGAAGAGGGAGGATCGCCTCTTGCCGCTGCATCTGTGTCCACCTCCTCCAGCATCGCCGGACTTTGGCCAGAACACCTTCGCCTCCATGAAGGGAAGAAGAAGAAGAGTCTGGCAGCTGAAGTAAGACAACCAAGCAAAAGCTCAAGTTGACAAGCAACCTTAGAAGAGGAGGAGGAGGTCAGAAAGAATAAAGGGAGTTAGGCAGGAGACCATGTAAAGAATATATACATATATATAGTGAATGAGAGTGAGAGAGAGAGAGAGAGAGAGAGAGTTTAAAGGAGTCTGGGATTAGGGGGTGGGGAGGATGTTTGTGGGAAATGCAAACCGCACTTGCACGGATTTCAAAGAAGAAGAAACTACAGATCCTACAAGAGTTAGTGTGGATGACAACTGATCCTTGAGATTTGTACGTCTTGCTCGATTAGGTGCTTAGAAAAGAAGTAATGATGCAGCATCCACCTCGTTCTAACATCAATATTATACGTATCCATGCAAACATGGCATAGGATTCACGCTACATGACAGTGTGGGTCGCTTGAGGTCAGGCACAGAGCATGGGAGGACCCAATTGGGAAGGACGAGTCCCCTGCTGAGTGACAAAAGGTTAGGACTAGTGGCCAAAATAGGAGATTCTCTCCTTCGTTGGGACGGCTTTTTGGCTCACTAAAGCCCCATCCATCCGTCCTCTACCGAGTTCTTAATCCGACATCCTCTCTCGACCAAATCCACGCTAGCTTTGGTGGCCTCCATTCTTAATCCCAAGCACGGCATCCGCTCCTTTTGATGAGCCTTCACGTCATCGGCACGCATCAATCACATCAACATAAATGTTTCATAGTTATTTGTCGATATAATATTAACATTATTGGTTTGTATGTATGTGTATATATATATTATATATAGTGTTTTCATGAAGGGGATGAGATCGGAGGGGAGGGGTGACGTAGGTAATGTGATCAATCATTGCGCACACGGATGGCCCCCACTCGTGGCAAGTCCTCTGGGAGCGTGCCATTTGTCGAGGGGAGAGAGAGGACACGAGGGTGCACCAACGGACGGTGATGATCGACTCATGATCATCCATTTGTCTATATTTTTTTTTCTATTCCGATGACAAAAGGATGGAGAGATTAAATGGAGTGGTTATGTAGACGTCGATGGGAGGTGATTAGCCTCTCTTGATCACTGATATTAAAGTCTAATTGGGATCAAAATTGATATAAGTAATCATTTTCGATCGAAAATGTATGTGCCCTATAACCATTTTCGATCGTTATTGAAATATATGTCTTCGATATCGCATAATAATATTGTTTTACCTTCCAGAGCTCCGGAATTAACTTGTGGATATTGATAGGATAATATTATTATTTTTCTTTTAATACATGTGTTTAGACAAAAAAAAATTATTAAAAAAATAAGTTTTTATTTTTTAATATTTTTTTAATTTATTCTTATTATTTATAAAAAATAATATTACCCTTAGCTTCTATCCTACTAGTTATCACCTCAGTCCTATCATATCATCATCTCATCCGTCGAATTCATTGCTCTCATCAACTTTCTTCATTATTATATTAATCTGTATTGTTATTATAGTTTTCAGAAGGACGTCCTCAACCCTCTTATTTGTCATTGGTTTTCAAATTCTTACGCGAACAAAAGTGCCCTCACTCTCTCTTGCTCATCAATATCACTTGATCAAAGAGTATATTAGCTTATGAAGGAGGTGAGAACGATATTTAATACGATAGGCTATGCCAATAAGGAGAGAGGGGATGTCCTACCGTAGCTACCTTTTTCTCTTTCGTCGTGATCAACAACAAAACCTTAGTAACGCTTTGATAACGATGAATGAGGGTGAGGACAATCAACGGACAATCGTGACGAGATATTGTGACAAAGACAACAAATGTCAGCGATTAGGATAGTACCATGAGATGAAGATCGATGATAATTAAAAAAAATAAAGATCATCGTACGTTTTTTTTTTTTTTAGTTTACCCTCGGATAAATCCACATGTCGGTGCATTAAAGTCCATTCAGATTGCTTTTTTATAATAATTCAAAACATTATATTTTAATAATATTTATTTACTTATTCCAATATCTTACTGCTATTTTGGACGTAATATGATCCTGGAAAGCGACGAATGGAATCACCTGTGGGTGTGGCGGCCGCCGCGGCGTTCGACGAATCGGTAGGCGACAACAGCCCTTCCGAATGCCCTCTCCGATCAAAATTCTCTGCTTCCGTCGACAGCGTGGCGACACGACCGCACCGCATCGATCCGAAGATTCCCGGTGGCGCGACGTCAAAGAATCCCGATGAGACCCCGTCGATGGAGCTAAAGACCGACAGAACAATCCAAACGCAACAATGGACATACGAGTCGACCACCACACCCAAGATTCTGTCCGCCACCATCGCCCCCATCTCCCAGCCGCCATCGAAGAGTTCGTACCTTGAGATCAAACCGCTGTAAAGATAACCGATGATTCGGGTTCCTCAGAAATGGATAGAGGAGGAGGACATGGTGGTGGCTTTCTTCTTCGTTCTGCTTTCGACAGCTTCTGGCCAAGTTGCGACAGTGCCATATCAATCCCTTACGCGATCTCTGCCATTGTGTCACCTCCACTTCGCTTCTGTCATCCGATATCATGATCCAGCGAGTGCCGTAAGGAATCCATCCGGAGCTGCTTTTGGCATGCCAAGAGAAATGTTCTAGTTTGAGCCTCGAGCACACCTCTTTTCTACTCACTCCTATAAATAGTAGTGTGGAATCCTTCATCCTACTTCTTGAGAGTGTCACTTCTCCCTCGGTGGTGGTGAGAAGCAATGGAGGCAGTCTGGTGATGCTGTTGACAGAAGATAGAGAGCACAGATGGTGACTTGCAAGCTCTTCTGCATCTCACTCCTTTGTGCTCTCTGTTCTTCTGGCATCACCTTCCGCCCCTCGCCGCACATCATCCGACACAACCTCACTGTTCTATTGCTTACGACTCATCAGAGACTGCCATGGGAATCCACCTTCTTTATTCTATGTGTTCTGACCACCACCTGATTTCTTCTTCATCCAGATCACATGAAGGCATGAGTTGTAATCAGACTTCCTCTGTAACACCAACTTCCTTTACGGTGGCCGAGACGTGGAAGAACTCGGTGGTGGTGTCCAAGAAGAAGAAGAGGCAGCACATCGCCACACTGCTCGCCAGCATCGGAATCGGCCCAAATATCCAGAGGAAGAGAGTGAAGGACAGGTAGAAGGCCCTGAGCCCCAGCGACCAGAAGAAGCTCCCCCGGTTCAAGCTACGGGCCACGTAGTCGGCCGGCGCACCGCCGGCTTCACCCGTCGTCACTAGGAAGCTGGCGTGGGCGTAGTAGCGTATGGACTGGACGTTGCAGAGGAAGGCGAGGATGAAGCAGAGGGAGATGGTGAAGTACTTGATGGTGTAGGCGGCGGGGGACTTGTTGCCGTAGAGGAAGAGGGAGGCGGACGCGGTGGTGGTGGTGAGCCTCACGAAGACGCTGGTGACGGAGGTGAGGGTGATGGCGGTGGTCGCCAGCACGGTGGACGCCATGATGTTGTTCCTCAGCGTCTGCACTGCCAGCACGCCGTTCTGCGTCGTGTCCTGCATGCACGTGCTCAAAGACCATGAATTCGATCGGAATTCCCCGCAGAAGAAAAAGGGAGGAGAAGGAGAGGAAGAAGAGATGGAGACTCACGGTCATCATGGCTCGCACCCAGCGTTCCCTCGCCTGAGCGTTGAGGCCGATGACGGTGCGCTTGGGATCTCGGGCGATGGTGAAGAGGAGCCACGGATGGTAGGTGGCCAGTAACAGCAGACCCAGTGGAACCATCACCATGTCCAAGGACTTCTCCTCCATCTCCTTGTCGTCGCTCTTCTCAATGTGGCAGCTCAGAAGACGAAGACGAAGAAGAACAAGCGTTTGCAGTCTGAGAAGAATCAAAGAAAGGGATACGCCACAGGGCATTTAGTTTGACTGCGGCCTTCGTTTCTGTGCCAGATGAATCCATACTTCAATATTAAGTGCGTTGGATTCATCTGCCCTTCATAGTTCTTCGAGTTGATCTTATCAGATCGAGTTGCCGCCGAGGTAGATCTCTAGAGAGAAGGAAATAAATGAGCATATTGAAGCACTTTCTTGGGCCAATTTTTGTAAAAAAAAAAAAACCTTAATTTTCACTTCTTTTTTTTTCCGATAGCATCTATCCCCTTTTTTGTTTATTTCGACCAACCTCTACTTCTTCTGCCCTCTCATCGTCGTTTGTAGATGGGGTGGACGTAGTGAACGTGAAGGTCGAGTACTTCTTTTGCCCCCTCATCGTCGTTTGTAAATGGGGTGGACGCAACGATCGTGTTTGTAGATGGGGTGGACGTAGTGAACGTGAAGGTCGAGTACTTCTTTTGCCCCCTCATCGTCGTTTGTAAATGGGGTGGACGCAACGATCGTGAAGGTCAAGTACTTCTGCCCCCTCATCGTCGTTTGTAAATAGGGTGGACGCAATGATCGTGAAGGTCGAGCGGAGATTGAGAGTGAGAAGCATGACACTTTATAAATGGATGATATGGTAAATGACATCATGACGCCATCGAAGATAGGACGATAGTTGTGGAGTTTAAGTCCAAGGAGGAAGTAGAGGGGGCGAATGGGGGAGGAGGGGTAACTATAACCACCGAAGCAGCAAGTGCATACCGATAACCATCAGGCCGATCGTTGACAACCACAATGATGGATATAAGGCAAAAAAGGCGATGAGATAAGGACGAGGGTGAAGACGACGAACAAAGACCGATATGACAACAATGATGGATGATGGCACTAGAGAATAAGAGAGACGAAAAAACACAACAGATACAAGTAACAAAGGCGGTGAAGAAAATAAAGAGCAAGAGTAATATCATCTTCTAGAAAATAAAACCACTATAAAAATAAACCAAAACGCAACGCTCCACAGAAGAAAAAACACTTTTGAGTTTCTTTTAGTTCTTTCTTTTTACTCACAAAATAACATAATAAGCGTGAAATAATTTAGTAAATGAATCAGCAGATTGTGGCACCTCCAAGAAATCTTAACTTACTTTCAAAGGATAAAAAAAATCATCATTTTTGGTACCCTATAAAGTAGACATGTTGAGTGCGTTTCTAATTTGTAAGTAACAAAGACTCTGCACCTGTATGCTTGTTTGAGTTGACCGGTGGCATTTGTTTGACATCATGCATTACACAGGTGATTCCAAAACCGATGCAGCTCGTCGCCTTGTTAAGAGAGCCATACACAAGGCACCCAAACTGACACTCATCTGTCTTCTTCTATGAGCAGCAGTTGACGCAGCTTATCATGCAGCCGGCAGAGTGTTAACCATCCATCCTCAACGTCACCTGCACCGTAAACATTGGTATATTGAACCGAACAAGTGCAGCATGCAACTTTACATCATGAAAAGTATTTTGTGGCTTTTCTAGTTTTGCATGGAGGTTTTATTGATTCATTTATTAGACAGGTTCAGCAGTTTCATTGCTGGATAAGCATAACCAACAAAAGTATTTGATCCTTTATTCTTCTCTGTTTGGTAGCCAAACCACAATTTGTTAATATATCTGTTATCAAATGACCTTCATTTAAATGTGAAGAGACAGAGATAGCTTCAAGTGAAAAAAAAGATGAATTGCACCATCATCCTTACTACCAGTTTGTAATTGAATTTGACTTGTTCTAGAAAAGACTTGCTTACACGAGATATTGACACAAACTCATCACAATGCAAAATCTGGCCCTCCTAAGAAGATCATATGATAAACTGTGTTAGTTTGACTGTAACAGGTATTTGGATATTCAACTTAATTAAAAATAAGGCCTAACAGTACAAGAAAATCGATCATTATTTAGGTATTTTGTAGCAAAGACCTTCGGATTACTATGATCAAGTCAGAAAACAATATAGATCACCTAAGGTAGAAAGTGTAAGTATCAGCTAAAAGGTCTCGTACCATAAGTTGCTTTGATTTTGCTCCTGCCTAATTCATCCATAATTTCAATACTCTATCCTTGCCACCAGATGCCACTTTTTCACCATCTGGACTCCAGTCCACGGAGAAAACCTGGGGAGGAAGATGAAAAGGCTTTGATGCTCAATAATGGAGATTCACATTCCTAAACTCACTAGGTTTCTTGAAAGAGCAGTACCTCGTCGGCATGACCTGGTAGGTCTTGTTTCAACTTCTGTGTTCGAATATCCCAGACCTGGTTCATAAACCACCAGTGTGAACGAAACAAAAGATCAAGAAGAGGCATGAAGACCATGCTTTTGTCATTACATAGCAACATTACAAGATAAATCTTACAACGCGATATATGCTACTTTATATTAGCCTGAGATGAACAATTCCAAAACAGCGTCAACAAAAAATGTGTCATGTTAAAAAAGGCTAAAATACCAAAGTTACAATTTGTGAGTACATCAAGCTGTTACAAGAAAAACCAAAATATATATATATGAACATCTGGTGGTAAAAAAAAAATGAATTTAGGTTTTAATGATACTCTAAAATCACAAGTAACAAGATGCAAAAGCTACCTTCAGAGTGGAGTCTTTGCTTCCACTAAGTAGAAGCCTACTGTCAGCAGACCAGCTGTTGCAAAATAAGTAATGTTACCAACTGCTGTGGCAGTATCAAAAATGAAAGTAAAAACACAGAAGAAAAAACATGCTGGACCTGATTTGGTACACAGGACCAACATGTCCACGGAATGAAGCAACGAACTTCCCTGTAATACCATTCCATAACTTGACAGATTTGTCAAAGGAGGCACTAGCCAACCATTGTCCATCCGGTGAAAAGTACACATGGTTTACAAGCTGGATTAAAGACATCAGCTGGTTAGTAAAATGTCCTATGGGCAAACTTAACTTTTAGGTAATAAAAAATCTCGACTGTACTAGAAATTATTATCGTTTAGGCTAATTCATGAAAAGCTTGAAGATACTCAGCATTTCGGAGCAATATATAAATCAACAACATGAAGCCTTATATGAAAACAGGAAACAAATATCTATACTCATTGCTTACCAGATTATCCTTCAAATTTATAATACTAGTGGAGAAAGTTGACAAAACTCCAGAAAATAATTTCTAAAAAGATCAATGAATGATTTAGTATTAACCTGTTGATGACCAGTCATGCGTGCCTTTGGGTGCTTACTCAATGCAGGTTCCCAGAGAAACATAGTAAAATCATCAGAACCTGAAACCAGCCTCTCAGGAGCATTACCTTTCATCTGGTTGTATCTAGCAAGAGCTGCCTAAGTTAACAAACAAGATGAGCCTTATCAGTTAACTATCAGATGGTTAAATGTTCATCATTGTTCATATCAAAGAAATATCATGCTAAGCACCATTCTCCCTTTTACAGAAGGTATCATGGTTCCATTAGTACATGTGCTGGCAATTAAAGGTAAGGGGGAATTCACCGGCTAGTAAAATAGATGCAGTACCTCTTTCATTTCCTCTGGTGATGAATATGTCTTTCTGGTGTGATCAAATGCTCCTGTGCGGAGAATATATTCAGTGCTCAAAGCTAGGGAATTAACCCAATGGCCATGTCCCTGAAATCCACATTGTCATCTAAAAGGTGACTAAACAATGTTGAAATTTATGCAGGTAATCTCAGCATGCTAAGTTGAAGGTTAAAACTATATTAATTTTTAAGGAAAAGTGCACATATGTAGTCAATGAACCTTTTTACCATAAAATGATAAACTCTAGATTTTGCTCCGTAACCAATTTAAATAACTCATCAATAATTTTGTAAGCCATTTCATAAAATACCAGCTTGAAACATTATAGTTGAATGCTTATTGTAGTCACCAAATTAGGAAAGAAAAGAAAGGCACACAATAATACAGCCCTGATAGAAAATTAATAGTTAGAAAAGATGTATCGTTTGGTCAGGATATAGATCAGGTGAAAAAAGGCCCAGTGTGCATGTTATATAGGCAAAAAGAAGAGAAAAGGCTCTGGAACCACAAAACAAAAGACAATTTGCAGGCAAGCATCCTATAACACCCACAAATCATTTCAAGTGTTGATGTGGACTCATCTGAAAACTAAAGAACCAAAAGCTTTTTCACACTATTGGAACAATTTCGACTGACATCTAACTTAATATCCAACATAGTGTTCAACTCATTTCCAAGACATGACCACTGTACCACAAATAAACAGAGTACATACTTCAAGTTGAAATAAATCATTTGTATTTCAAGACATAATATAGGTCAACATGCAACTATATGAGAATGATATTTGAGCTTGAAAATTTTAGTTCCACATTTAATGAGATCTTCTTCGGTTGGAAGGAGTTGCTTACAGACATAGGGGTGAAGATAAGAATTAACAAAATCATGGCAAACCAAGAACAGTAATACAAAAAACTGTGTATGTTCAGATAATTGCACATTAAACATGCATGGACACAAGTGCATTTACTTTTATGGACGTACAACGAGTTAAAAATTTGTGCAGGAGCCGTTGATTCTACTAAAATAGCTATGCATCAAATATTTTCCATTGGTTGCAAGAAAATCAGCTAATAAAAGTTAATCCTAATAAAGGACAGTTGAGGAAAATTATATCGTAATACCTTCAACTCACGGATTAACTTTCCCTGAGACGTTTCCCATACTTTGATCGTACAATCCTGAGAGCTGCATGCAAGAGTTGTGTTGTTTCAAGTACAGAAATCATAGCAACAGACATAATTTAATCAATATTTTTATGTCTTTATGATGAATTTTGAGGGAGAAATGTTCCCGTCTTTGCCTAACACTGACCCAATGGTCCAAGCAAGAAAACCAAAAAACTAGCTCAAGTACAATGTAATTCCTCTTATGTATAATCCTATACTGCAAAAGGATCATGTAGAATATGACAATGCATCATAGATTACCATAACATATGAAGTCACATACTCTCAAAGCATCATGGATAATTTGCTAAATGAGAAGAAAATTGGTAAAGAAACATTCATATGAAAATAACAAAAGCTTACATAATTCAGACCAATCCCTTTCAGTAGTTGCAACTATATACGAAAGGTTTATAGAAAATATAAGAGACAAAATTAGTGAGAAGCTACCAAAGCATGTTAGATACATGGGAATTGGGAATTAAAATATATAATAATAAGACACACAAGAGAAGCAATGAACTTTGAAGAAATGCATACCCTGTATATATCATCCCATCACCACCCCACTTTACACAGGTAACTGCCAGAGTGTGACCAGAAAGACAAATAACACACTTCCTCAAAGAAATATCCCAAATACGTGCATCCCCATCCTTACTGGAACTAACAAAACGGCGACAAGGAGCTTGCAAATGCACAGGCTCCCAGGAAATACCAGTAATCCATTTCTTGTGTCCCTGCCAGTTGATAATGTTACCAAATACATCTTGTCACCAGTCACAAATTTGTAATAAGTGCACATAAAAATATAAATGTCTGACCAAAATATGTTATAGTGGAACATTAACAAGTACAAAGATATCAACAGCAACATATTATTAGTTAAAGAAAAGAATAAAGATGAAATAAATTTTGAAAATTTGAAAAAGCAGTGGTTTTGAGAGTCATATATAGGAAATATATTTAAAGAAACAATATATTCAAATTTCTAAAAGAACATTTCTAGAGCATCAACAAGTTCCCTACAACTTGTCAAATGACTGCAGTGGAGTCGTAATTTATTGGTTTAAGGTATTGCAGATTAGAACACTTCACATGATGTGCCACTCTCGTTTTAATTGTTTTCATTGAGACATTATGCCATATATTTTACTCCAGTGATACGGTAGATCAGCAGCAGCAGCAGCCTGAGGAGAAAGAACTACAAGACCATGGGGCACACGTATGATGTATCCGTTGACCCTCTATTTAAATGGTTGATTGATGGAATTTGGGATTCACACGAAAAACTGATGGAAACAACCCAATTGGATACTCAGATCAGTGTTGGAGCCACAACAATGTGAGCATGCTAACGTAAACAATGCTGCTTCTTTCTAGGGCAGCATAAACTTTTTTTTATATACTTCATAGCAGAGAATAATAAAGCAGTGATACAACAGAAATAAAAATACAAAGACATAGACATGGAGTTCTTATAATTCTGGAGCAAGAATAACAGAAATGAAATATTAATTAACTGATAGTGGCCGCTCGAATGTAAAGAATGATTATGAAAAAGCATCAGAATATCAAACTTCTGTAGCACCAATAAATGCCTGATGCTCTGAGGCTAAGTATCCAGAATGATGAAAGGATGAAATGTCTGAAGCTAAAGTCAGGATTGGCCCTTGTGGTCCAGATCAACTAGTTGGATCAGACCAAATTAATTCCCTAGATAAAACAAGATCGACTAATCTGAACCAATCCTTTCTAGGAACCTATCATGGCTGATGCTTACAATCAACAAACAAATGGGTATAAGCACAAGAATCAAGAATGATGAAAGATGAAAATGTGCAGGATATTGGTCCATGCAGTCAAAGTTGACAAAGATCAACTGGGACGATCAAGCCAAATTGGTCAAGATTAACCCTGATTGTTTGATATCAATTGATTCAAGCCTTCATCCAGAATAGACCAGTCAAGACAAATGCCTGCCATTCTTAGATCATGATTGCTAGACCCAAATAAATAATCAGATGATTGGTGGGCAACCGATCAGCCAATCTCTAAAGCTATGGCAACCATTGAAAGGTAGTTGAAAACTTGAAATGATCAAACTTGAAATGAAAACAAACTAACATGATCCATTTATTCTTCCAAGAATGATAGAATTGGTCATGAAGAATATTTCGGTGCTATTGAATATTAACAAAAGAAGAACCCTCTGTCCTATTAGTCTAAACGATATCAATTAAATCAAACAGTAAGCAATCCGCAACTGGCATTATATTGATGCTCTTATCGTGCCACAAAACCCTTAACTTCTATAAGCAAGGAGCCCGTCTAATCTTAAATTGCATAAAGATACCAAAACAAAATTAACATCTTCCAAGTATTGTAATAAAAACTAGCATGGGCTACTAAAAAAAAAAATGAATATAAGCAAATACATGTACTTACAAGAAGTGGACCACCGGACTGTTTCCCAGTTTGTGGATCCCATGTCAAAAGTTCACCAGCTTTGCTACCACTCACAAGATGTTTACCATCCGATGACCATGCAATGCAAAGCACCCAATTTTTATGACCTAAACAAATTATGAGGTAGCATTATTAAATCCTTGAATACAATAAATACTTTGGTCTAACAAAATTCAAAAAATCTCAAGTCTCAAACATATGTATTTATTCAGTCTTAGGGTTACTAATCCAGATGCTACCACTGAGAAAAGTTAAAAACATAAAAGAACTCATGGACAAACAAGGACAGTCAACCAAAACAAGAAGTTATTTAACCCTTTGATGACATCTTCCTCTTTGCTAAAAGATTAGACAACAATTTTCTGCCCATTAACCATCCAGAAGTTCGCCTGATTCTGCAAAGTTGGTGTTACATCCAAAACCATGTGTTTTTTTTTATCTTCTGTATGTTTTAGTTTGGAAGAAGCTTTTTCTTCCACAAATCAACACAAAGATAACAAATATCAGCTTCCCTTTACAGACAGAAAATAGAAGGCTGCAAGAAATAAAGTTACACCAAAGAAGTAGCAGAAATATCAATTACTACATATTCTTGGTCACATGTAAGCCTTCCAAACACAAACAAACAAACATGCTACCTCTTAGATGGACCTTTTAAGAAAATTCATAGGACAAAACTAGAAGGAAATGGTGTAGATATATGTAAAGAAGAATCATGCAAGAAATTGGGGTGAGGTATCGGAAGTTTCTTAAATTCACCTGAGCAAGTGAACAAAGGGGTCTGAGTATTAAGATCCCATAGTCGAACAGTTGTATCACCAGAACCACTGGCCAAGTTCTGTCCATCAGGGCTGAAGGAAACAGAAAGTACAGCTTCTGTGTGACCTGAATAAGATAAATTTGACCGGAGTTTAGTATAGCATAAAACTAACCATAACAAAGGTACAATTAGTAAGAATTTATCAATAACAAAAAGAATTATGCATAACACTTAAAGCTTTTTAGAAGCTTTATTTGGCCCACATAGTAGCGATTAGCATAAAAAGCAAAATAATTGGTTCATCGGCAAACCTATTAATTTATACTCTAGACTCCCAACCATAATGGAGCTACACCAAGGGTAAATCTGAGTTGCATCTCATTTCCACCAATTAATGAAATTATTAAGTTTCCACCAAGTGGGTTCTCTCTCAAATTCCCAATGAGGTCATCAAATATAAAAACTATCATTCTTCAATCCACAAGTTCCCTTCTAGAAAATTGAAACTAAAAAGCATCTGCCAGCAATTTCTTTGGATGCCAAGTGAAATGACAAGCATGTTTGTAGCTTCATTACTAATCTTCCAGCAATATTCAAGTCCTCATCCTAGTTACACCCCAAAACTTTCACACTAGATAACATCAGAAGATAATAAACATGTCTGATAAAAGACAGTCAGTAACAAACCAGCTATAGTTGCAGAACATCGATTGACTGGACGGATTCTGAATAGTGCTTGAGGTTGGTAGACTATGCGTAGCACCTTCTCCACAGACACTGCACAGATTATACATATTAAACTGGAAAGATGAACATGATCATAAATTAAACTATTTTCCCACACTAGCAAGAAACACAATTTATTTTAGTGCAAAGTCACCATTTTGTTCAGAAGTAGAATACTGAATCTATCTAAGTAGAGATATAAAGATACCTTTGTTCTTTTGCAAATAAGAACCAAGCTGAACGATAAGCTCCTGATCTGATATGTAAAATGCATAAGGCATTTTTTCCTCCTATTAAACAGATAAAAGTTCTTTGTCAGAGGATCCATGACTAAGTCAAATTTCCAAATACAGCCACATAAAGAAAGAAGAAATAAAGTGAAGTAATAACTAACAAAGAGAAAGGATGCATCAATAGTAAACGAGACAGGAGATGGTTAAGATACATTCTTTAGCAGCTTGTTGACAATTTCCTGGAGCTGTGGTGGACCAGCATTCTGTGGGAGATAGAGTGGAGCACCAAGGGGCTCTCCCTCAGGATCAGTTAAAAGGCACATTACAGTATTGCTACTGCTTATTTCACTCCCTTCTTCCATTACTTCCATTTGACCGTAATATAACCTGGCAGAAGAAAGAAAAACATGTCTTAAATAGCAATAGAATGAAATATAACAAGATTCTATCTCATCCGAGATGAAAAAGAAGAGGTACTTCTGGAAAGCAATTTCTTTGATAATTTAATACAGGTTTGCATTATCCAATAAATAGAAAAACAAAGTCGATACCAGTATAATCAAAGGCGCCGAGGTGCCAAAATGTCCGAGACGCTCCGGAATATTAAAATTTTAGAAATATATAATAATAAATAAATAAACAAGGAGGAGGAGGATGGAGAGGGAGTTGTTGGGGTATGGGGAGGGGCGTTGCGGTATGTTGGCAGAGGAGCAAGGAGATATCCGAGGAGCAGGAGAGGGGGCTGTCGGGGTATGGTAGGTGGGTTGCTGTCGATTGGGAGGGGAAGACGGAGGAGGAAGGAGAGGGGGTTGTCAAGGTTCGGGAGGAGGGAAGGGAGCTATCAGGTATGAGGAGGAAGAGGAGGAGGATATCGGGGAAGCTCGGGCGGATCCCAGTAATACAAATGATGGTAAATCAAATGATGCAGACCTTAATGATCGGAAGAGATGGGGAAGTGGGACGGAGAGGCGGTGGTGACGGTGGCACGCGCGCGAACAGGTGAAGGGAGAAGAAGGCGTAAGAGGCCTAGGGTTTCTTTTCACCGCCGTCGAAGGGTAACGGGTCGGATGGATCTCGCTCGGGAATTAAAACACCGAACCCTGACCCGAATCGGACCCATTAGCGGGTTGGAAGTTGAGAATCGATCCGTGAGCTTGCGGGTCGAATCTTTTAATCCGATCCCACACTCTTGCGCAAATATCAAATAATTATTAGTAATTTTGAAAGAAAAACTCTAATCCCTTTATTATCCTCTTTTATTGATAATATTTATTGTGAAAACTCATGTCAACCACTTATATAATCATAATCAGAATTAACTTGTTTGAGTTAAAAAAAAAGTATATAAAAATATAAGATATCAAATACATCCCTAATAATTTAAGTTTCTAGGT